GGTGGCCTGTTTGCAGGGGATGCTGTATGAAGCGAGACTGAGGGTACTGGGTCTCTTCAGTCTGGAGAAAAGGAAACTCAGAGGGGATATGTTGGCGACATACAGGTATGTGAGGGGATGTCACACGGAGATGGGTAGAGACCTGTTCTCCCCTGCAGAGGAAGGCAGGATGTGCTCCAATGGAGCAAAGCTCAGGGAACCAAGGTTCCATTTGGATGCCAGGAAGCACTTCCTGACAGTTAGGACCCCGAGGGTGTGGAATGGGCTTCCACGGGAGGTCGTTGAGGCCCCATCAGTGCAGGTGTTCAAGGATAGGCTGGACATGCACATGGTGGGCATGTCGTGAGCAGAGCCGGCTGGTGCCGGAGGTCAGACTAGATGGCCCGGGAGACCCCTTCTGACTTGCTCTGTTTCTATGTTTCTTATTTTACTGATTGCATGGGAGCCTCTGTTGCTTAGGACTAGAATAATACTGGGTTAAGTATTACATTATATTTCTAATAAATACAATTAAATATCATAATGGTGATTGATCTGTAAAACAGAACTGTCAAGTGTTTCAGGTCGAATTGGGTCAGAGCAGTGACCTAATTTCTACTTTTCTGCCCTGCTCTGTTTTGAGTATTTTAAAAAAATAGTTGATGAGTTCGACAGCAGGATCAAAATTGCCTATGCACCAGCCTGGTTACTCCTGCTCCACTCAACACACACAGTAAAATCCTGCCATTTGTATGTGTTGCTTCTCCTGCCACACACTAAGAAATCATTTCAAAGCTGAGCTCTCTCTCTCTCTCCCGGCTGCTCCCATGAAAAAACAGATGGGCATGTTCTCGTGTTCATCCCCAAAGCTTTTCATGACATGGACTGGATGTTCCACTGGATGCATATCTACTGCTGTCTAGAAAACTTCGCTGTTTCCTGGTAGATGAGTCCTAACACTGCCAGTCACAAAACATTGTGTAGCACTTCTGACTTTACCGCTATAATGGTTTTTTGTAGTAAGAAACAAAGGAAAAAAACAGAAGCTGCAGGAGAGGAAACATGGGAAGGTTACAAGTAGAAGACAAGAGTGTCTGGATCTACCAAGAAAATCTCAGCATTCAGCACAGCAATTGCATGAGTAGAATTGAAATTAATCAATGTATTTTGTAAAAGTTTGTAGAGTCAGGGTTTGCTTAAGAACACTTTTAATCCATATGCACATATATAGACCTGTTTTGTACCATAATAACCCAGTTTGCTAACCATTGATTGTTTGGAGCAAGCAGTGCCAAGTGACTGAGCATCTTGACAGTTGACCTCTTACCTGCTTCTGGTTCTTTAAAGCAATCCAGAGCGTCTCTGTTTTGGCTTATTCTCTCTGATATCTGAATCTTGCTGGATCTTGCAGCATTTGAAGAAACAACTCAAGAGTTATTTGGGATAAAACTCTGACGTACAACTCTTGAGTTGTTTCACACCCATTTAGATAACATGGAAAACTCCTGGGTTTGGTTACTGCATGGCAAGCAGGCTGGCCATTGGAAAGGCGGCATATCTGCACACTCCTGGACAACCCATAGTTAAACTGTGGGTTGTTTTATTGTGTGAACTGAGTCACACATTCCTTTGCCCTGCTCCTTGCTTTGTTCTCTAAAAGCCATGCAGTGTGTAAGCAGGGGTAGTAGGGTCATCCTATTATGGGATACCACAGAAGTAGTAGTGGGTCATTGTCACGCAATTGCCTTGGAGCATTGCTGACTATTTGTCAGGCAAAGCTATGGAAAGGAGGCCAATGTGGATGCTGAAAGAAGTGTCTGTCCTTTGCCCCTGTGGAGTTTGTTCTTTAATACAAGATTTTATTGAAGTGCTTAGTAAGCTTGGAAATAGCTTTGCTTCCACTTAAGACCAGGCTTAAAGTTGCAACATGCAAAATTCCAGTGGTGGGAAAGTTAGCTGGCCATTGAATATAAAGTTTTGATTTTGTATTCTTCAACAATGGCATCCATACATCCAAGAAATAAATATTACCAGGCTGTGATAAGATCTGCTCTGAAGGTGTTGGGAATGTTGAGATACAAATCTTTAATACCAATGATGACAACCGAATTGCACCTTCTGCCACAGTTGGCCAATGCCGTTCATAAAATATATAGAATTTATATAGAAAAGAGTAGCACCATAGTGAGTTTTGCAACATGGTAAAATGTAAAGATTTTTGAATTTCTGTTTTCAAATATAAAATGTTTGATCTGAAAATTCAGTAGCTGATATATGGATTGCAAAGATTCTTGTGGTCCAAAACACATACCCAAGTTGTGTCCCACTGAGTGCAAGAAGGACATTGCCAAAAGGGACAAACTACATAACTAACAAAATGGCCAGAAACAAGCAGAAAAGCTGAGTGAAAAGCCCACAACTTTTCACATGGTGATGTAACCTTTAAAAATAATTATAATTCAGCTAAAAATACAATACATCCCAGCATAATGGGAAAGCAGTGACCCGAGTGCTTCTACTCAGTCATCCCACCGGGTGCTGAACGCTGATGGGCAAATTTTAGATCTGTCTTCTCTCTTCTTTAGGGTTCCTTAACTTTCAACTGGACAACCCTTCAAAAGGTGATGTCTGAAAAGACTGTTCTCCAACAGCAGTCCAGACAAAGGACTGTAAAGTACTACACATGGTCACCCTTTCATGGTCACCCTTACTCCCCAGTAAACAGGCACAGGATCAGGGAGGAACTGAATATTGCTCAATTTTACATTTAGAATATGAAACCAGAACTAAAAATGGTAATACGTAATTTTAAATGTTGACTTCCAAATTGCCTTTACCCTAGAACAGTGATGGTGAACCTTTTAGAGACCGAATGCCCAAACTGCAACCCAAAACCCACTTATTTATCGCAATGTGCCAACACTGCAATAAAACCTGAATACTGAGGTTTCAGTTTAGAAAAAACTACTTGCAGTCAGTCCAAGCAAATATATATATATCCTTGGCAGTGCACTGGCCATGCGAAAGCTCGGATGAGTCGTGGTTCATGAGTTGCAGCTCGTGACATCATCGCCTGGCACCGCTACTCCTTTCCAAGCATGCGCAGGGCCCCTATGTACGCAGTTATCCAATGCTCTGCTGCTGGGGTGATGCTGGGGTGACTTGGCTCGCATGTTGACAAGAGAGGGCTCTGGGTGCTTGCTGTGGCATGCATGCCATAGGTTCGCCACAACTGCCCTAGAAGAAGGGGGAATTCTGTTGTTTGAGCACGATAATTTCCCAGTGGTACCTCATTGCACAAGCAGTACTATGCAATGCGAGTTTTCAGCTTCTCTGCATTCTGGAGGCAAAAATACAGATCCTGTGCCCTCCAAAAATGGATCCTAACCCTCCATTGCAGGAAGAGAAGATGCTTGTGTAGATGGACATGAACAAAACTTATTTGAGAGACAAATGGGGAATACTTGGTTCAACAATACTACAAATGAGAAGGTTCTTGAAATTGCCATAGATCAAAACTAAATTTGAGCCAATAAAGCAACGTAGCTGCAAAAAGGACAAATTCTGTATTAGGCTGTATTGGTAGAAGTATCACTTCCAAAGCAGATGGAGTACTAGCTCCCCTATCATCTGGAGGTCTGTGTCCAGTTCTGGGCACCATGGTTTTAAAAAGATGCGGAAAAGCTGGAAAGGGTTCAAAGGAGGGCAACGGCAGGGCCATTTTAATGCATGGGCCTGATGGGCACTTTCCTGTGGGCCCCATACTAATCTGTGTATGTTAACCCTTGGAAAACTGGAAAACTTCCAAAATTAACAGTAGTTGTAGATGTCCTAGGGGCCCCAGTACACTGCTTTGCCCGGGGCCCATAATGCTGTTAAGACGGCCCTGGGCAACAGGGATGATCCAGCGGCTGGAAACAGGGGCTCAGTTGCCTATGAGAGACCGAGAGAACTGGGCACGTTCAGCCTTGTAGAGAAGAACTCTACCAGTACTTGAAAGGCTGTCTCAGAGGAGGTCAAGATTTCTTCCCGATCATCCTAAACAGTGTAGGACGCAAAATAATGGACTTACATTACAGGAAACCAGATTCTGACTAGATACCAGGAAGAATGTTCTGATTGTTAGACCAGTATGATAATGAAACCAATTACCCAAGCAGGTTGTGGGGTCTCCCACACTGGAATTACTCAAGGTACAACTGGATGTACATCTGAGTGGGATGGTGTAACTTGGTGTCTTGCACTGATCAGGGGGTTTGACACAATTCCTTTTTATTAAGTGATTCCGTGAAACCAGTGGGGTATCTTTGATGGAATTCCTTCCACCACAGGGGTTTCCAAATGGATGATTCCATTTGGTCAGGTTTGCAGGACATGTGGAGGGAGCCAGTCCTTCTCTTGTTTTCCTGATCTGAGATTGCATCCCTCCTATTAACTTTTGCAGGGAAACATGCAACAAACCGTACAGCAAAGGGTAGGTGAAGTCTCTGCCAGGTTGGATGAGTTTTACTTTGCCCACCTTCAACCAAAACAATGCAGAACAAAAATAATTCCCTCTGCCCTTAAAATCACTAACAAACAAGGCAACCAAGCTAACATATTCTAACTAATTCAGGGGCAGCAAAATCCCCCACTGTCAAAGTGAATGCCTTCTAATCACAGCAATCTGGGAGTTTTTATAGGTGCAAACTGTCCAGTTTCTGAGAAATAACCACACCAGAGCCTTTTGTGTTGCTCCTACATCTTTCCTGTTCTTCAGTGAATCCCACAGAGCAAATGAACTTGGGCATGGCAGATCCCATCTCTGCCAATTTTGGCCAAAACTTTAAGACGCCATGACCTTCTGTGAAGCCACTTCTGGGGAAGAAAGGAAACGCAGCTCCGAAAACACAACCACTCGAAGCTACAAAACAGAGGCAACCTACCAGCGTTAATTTTCCATATTTTTACATTTTAAACGAAATGTTTTCCCAGAAGCATGAATAACACACTTTTCTGCCTTCCGCTTGCACCAGAGGTCTCTACGCCTGCTGGGCGCCTCCCAGATACTCCATTTCAGTAGCTCCTCCTGTGGCACCTCCTTTGTTTCGGCGACGGAACTCCTCCGCAATTTCTTCAAATGACTTGCCTTTCGTTTCTGGCACTTTATAATAAATGAAAATGACAAAAATGCCAAGCAGAACGGCAAAGATCAGAAACACATATGGTCCGCAGAGTTTCTGTGATGGACAAAACACAGAGAGAAAAGCTAGTTAATCGCATTTCCCCTCCTCTCAATCCCAGCTGAGGAGGCTGCATTTCTGTGATGTCTTTCTGTTTGTCTATTTCCAAAAAAAATTACAGTATTCAATTTCTCCCCACTCCAGTAGCTGAGGTACTGGATATTTTGGTGCTGAGGTAGAAAGCATGAATGATAACTGTCCCTTCTCCAGTTGGAGCAGTTGCGCAGAATCTAATATTAAGAACTGGTAGCCACCATTGTGAAAATCTTCATGTTCATTTTTTTAAATAAAAACAAGCTTCTGGTCCTTTTGAATATCAATATAAACTTAAGAGGATGTGAATCATGCCTTTTAGATGCAAGAGAGAAGCTCTGAAATACTTTTAGCGATCAGGAGGCATATTTAGCAATCTACATAGCTCTTTCACTTTCCGTATAATTGGCAAAAAGGGGGCAGGGGAGGAAGGAAAAAAGAGCCAAGATTCTGCAACCTATATGCAAATATGCTTAATTTGCACAATGCATATAGCTTTTAGAATCCAGCTTTTCCTGGAGTAGCTTATTGCAGATTTCTCTTCCATTCCTCGAATGATCATCACTAGTTTTAAAAAATATAAATAAATCATTGCATATTCTCCAGTGCTCTCTCATGTATTTGGCATGTGGGACACGCAGGTCTGTCACATTTGTGGTTGCTGGCCAAATTAAATCCCTTTTGAGTTGAAGGGATCTTGGTTGTTTGACCACTCAAAATGGCCCACTGGATGATATGGAAAGGAGCAGCATGTGCGTTAAACATAAGAGTCTGTCTGATACTTAGTCAGCAAACAGTCCACCCAGCTCAGTGCTCTGCACTCTTCACGGGCAGCTGCTGTCCAGGCTCTCAGGCAGGAGCCTTTCCCATCACCCACTTCCCAAGAAGCTTTTATTAGAAGATGCCGGAGAACAACTGCAGAAGCATCTGCATCCAGAGCAAATGCTCTAACACAGCTGTGGCCTTTGCACCTCCTCTCCCATCACAGGGGTGCCTGCTATGATTCCGAGAGGTGGGATCATAGCTAAGTGGTGCATTGTCCAAGACTCCAAGGCTGAATACTGCAAAGTGTAATAAGAAATCCTTCAGGTTTAATACTGCAGTTACTTCAGATGTTTCAAATACTGCAGGGATGTAATACTTCAAATGCTTGGATACTTAGCATCTCCACTTAGAAGGCACGGTTGCAGGAGATGTGGAAGACCTCTGTCCAAACCTCAGGTGAGCTGCTGTACTTTCACAATAGACAATGCTGAGCCGTGGCTGTTGAGACCAAAGTCAGCAGGGCATTGCAGCCAATCTGTGCTCCAGGAGCTAGAACTAGGTTGGGGTCCAGCCACTATCCTCCACTTGCACCAAAATGTGTCTTTGTTAGGCTTAGACCCAGTTCTGGGGGCTTCCATGAATTAGAGCTCCAAATGCCAATCTAAATCATATTTAAGCTATGCCTTTTGTTCTATAATTTTTCCTACCGCAGTCGAGAAATGTATTTCCCACTGTTCACTTTGTATTTCTAGCTGCTTCCATTCCCCACCTTCAACTATAAATGTACAGGATACCCCTAAGCATCCTCTTCCAGTTGGATTTCAACACAATACAGTAAATGCCATGGGATTTCTTACAGCAACGTATGGGAAGAACATCCCGATGCAGAAGTTGGTGAACCAGTTGCTAAAACCAGCCATTGCGACAGCTGCTGGGCGAGGGCCTTGACTGAACAGCTCAGCAACAATAAACCAGGGAATTGGTCCTGGCCCAATTTCAAAGAAACTGACAAAGAGGAAGATGGAAGTCAGGCTGACGTAGCTCATCCATTCCAACTTGGGCTAAAAAGAAAGGTAAACAGAACCTCATTAGCAAGCCTAGAGGTTACATGTGCGGTGCATCTGGTCACGGACCGTGTGCATCCGCGTTGTCTGTGGAGACGTCCTGATGGGCATTTACCCGACAGGCAAATCGGCACGCCATGTGCAACCAACACGTCCTCTCCGTCTCCAGCATCCCGTGTCATTCACACAGGGGAAGCCTGTCCAAGCATGGCCTATGCGTAGGGTGGCCATTTGTGCGTTGCCAAAAGGAGAGGACACGAGGCCGCAGATCATGCAAATGTAGACATGATAGCTATGCTGTCACTAGAAACACAAGACATGCCTTGCGTCAGGGTCTTGGTGGAGAAGACCATCCAAGTAAGCTCTGTTTCTGCCATGTTGCTGCCAGTGCTAAATGCTGGCAGGCAACATCAAGGCTCCCTCTCTCCCTCAATCTGGTTCTTTGACGTTAAACCAGACACCTCCTCAGATAGAGGACACCTTCAAACAGACGTTTTCCCACCTGCTCCCCAAACAGAGGATGATCTCTTTATTCTTTGTAAAGAGGATACCCAGCCTCAATCATGCAGTCTGATCTCAGATTTAGCCAGTGACTGTTACATGTAAGATTTCATGTGTGTGCGTGTGCGTGCACAGATGTGTGTGTGCACGTGTGTGTGTGTATGGCAGGGTGGGGGTTTGTATTCAGGTGAATCAGTGCCAGACTGGAGGCTGGGAATGGTGGAGGTGGAGTCTGTGTTCTTGACTGCGTGCAATAGGCCCATTTGCTCCTTTCAGGTACTTTCCAAATACTTGACTTTATTCAGTGAAAGGCAGCACTGTAAGGTTTAACTGTGGTTTTATGTTTACATGATTAATATACATGTGATTCCCCCAGGCTGACTGCCATGGTTTGTGTGTCTACATTCCACGACTGCTAAATTAAGCATAAAAATTCTCTAAATTGGATTGGAGCAGCACAGTTGCTGTTTTCCTGCCCCCCCCATAAGACCCCCACCTGATATGCCTGGGCAAACAATGTCCTGTAAGTAGGATAAATCCAGATGCAGCCAAAAGAGTTTATTCCAGAGGACTGTGATTAAACAAACCAGAGAACAAGCTTCACCTGGAAGTGTTTATAGGGCCTTGGACTTGTCACGTGAGCTCATGAGTGAGCCATTGATGTCTTCTGGATAACCTCTGAATGGTTACTCTATTGTTCCTCCTTTGGTCTGGGATTTGTAGGGGTGTGCAAGTTACATCCCCATCTGCCACTGCTTGCAGTTGTGCTTCAGAATCCACCTTGCACTTAAGCTATGACTCTTGTCTTGGAGGATGTTCTACCGCTATTTTCTTTGTGACGGACAGAGGCCAAAGCCTCCAATTCAATACCAAGAGATAACAAACAACACTATAGCCCCACCTGTTGGTAGAAAATGGTATTATCCCCTCATACAACGTTCTGAAGGTGAATCAGACAAGTCTTCTGTTCGGCACTGATAGCTGGGTAAGACAAGCAACTGCAGCTCTGTTTGACCAGGCTGCACTTACTTGGTTAGCTTCAAAAGGGTGGCATAAGTAAGGAACAAGCAACCCTGAAATTTACACTGAAGAAATGAGCACTCTCAGGGTGCATGGTGGATGGCCATCCTGGGGGAGTATTTTAGCTCAGATGTGTAAACTTCCTTGATGGTGATTTAAATCATCTTCAGACACTCGCACAGGAAAAACCTTACCTGAAGCACAAGTCCGACGGTCATGGTGATGGTACACAACATCATGCCAAAGAGCCCAGCCATAAAGAGGGAGCGCCTCCCTGCTTTATCCACCAGGAAGACCTGTCCATGGGAGAAAAAGAAGAGCCAGGTTGGATGGAGTGAAGAAATTTGGCTATTGAGAATAAATGAATAAGTATATCTATAGTGCCATGGTCAGTTGAATCGAAACTGGCAATCCCACTCTTCTGCATAAAACATGCAGGCACCTACCATAGACTGAGGATTGGGTCTAGATTGTACCAGTTTACTGGCTTTAATGGTCTGCTCTAAGTTTGACTGAATCTGGATCCAACCCAGCCTTCTCCAACAGGGTGCCCTCCAGTTGTTTCAGATTCCCCTATTTCTAATCTGCACCCCATTTCAAAACCTAGCAATACCATTCCTGAGCTTATTGAGATAACCGCTGGGGAGATCAGAGAGATGATGAACTTGGAGTGCTCTCAAACTCTCAAAGTGCAGAAGGCAAATGCCATGTTCTGTAACTAAAACCCTGTGCCTGAGTTTGATTGTTTTCCTCCCCTCTCCACAAACCTTTTAAATTTGTATCATGTCTTTTATGCTTGAAAGCCTGAAAATAGGGATTAGCTTATTATAAATCTTTAGAAACTATTCTGGGAGCATTTTTTGGCTTAAATAGGAGTAAAAATCCTTCAAATAACAGAGAACCAAAAGCAGGATCTGATATTATGATAACTGGGGAATGAATCTCAGGATGGATGTTCTTGAGACCTTTCAAAGGGCACAATTCAAAGCACTGAGTTTGACCAACAAAGCCGTAAACACTGCCAAACCATGGCTCACTTGAAGGATTGCTTCTCCCCATATCAACCTTCCTGCATGCACTACAATCAGTCCTGCAAACCCTGCTTTGGGATTCCAAAAGGAAAAAAGAACACAAATATCAGAGAAAAGGGAGCGATGGCTTCTATTCTAGTGCTCCACTAGAATAAAGGATTGACAGGCCAACTTGTTTTTTCAGGAGTACTTAGAATGCACAAGGCGATGTCCTCAACCACGCTTCACGGACAAACAGCTCTGTTCCAAATCTCACCAACTTCTGGGGCTGGAGGGGGGAGTGACAGGAACTTTTTCATTTTAGGCTCAATTACCCACCCCTTCTTTTTTTACAATGCCGTCCTAATCCAGGTAACACAGAAGCAAATCCTGTTGATCTTCAGTAGAGTTTACCCTCTCGTAAAAAATCCCCATTTGAATTGCTGTCTCAGTCCTAAACTCTTGCTAATCTCTTGTGCTTTTTTGCATGGGGATGATACAAGGCCGAATCCTTGGCATCTCCGTGTAAAGACCTTCCTGGAAGTCCTGGGCAGCCCTTGCCAGATGGACCATTGGTTTGGCTCCATTTAAGACAGCTTTCTTTATATCCCCTTCAGCTGTTCAATATCCCCCCGCCATGAAATGAGGAAGCAACTTCTCCCTCCCATTCCTTCCAGTGTCACCTTAACAAATGCAAAGGCAAGTCATGGTTGAGGTGACAGTTGTAGCTCCTCCTAGTGACAGAATCTGATATTACACCCCATAAAACAATCTGAGAAAGAGCCTGCAAGTTTTGGTTCTTTTAAAAAAAAATCTGTAAAATAAGCCACGCTGGTTCTGTGGAACCAGACTAGCCATTTTACATACTAACTTGTGTTTACTTACAGCAAAAACGGTGAATACAGTGTTCACAAACCCCACTCCTATGGTTGCATAAATAGGTTTTCTGACATGAGCTTGGTTAAAAATATCAGTGGAGTAGTAGAAAATCTAGCAAAGAAGACAGAAGTAAACAGTTAAAAGCACAAGTGGCTGTTGGAACTTGCCCTCCTCCCACATGATGCATGCAGACAAAGAGCCATTTTTCCTGGCATTCCAGGACATCTGTGGTACAAGGAAGTCTGCTTCTGTATTACAATCATAAAACAGGACCCCTAGGCCATGGAATGGGCTTCCACAGGAGGTGGTTGAAGCCCCAGCGCGGAGGATGTTCAAGGATAGGCTGGACATGCACAGGGTAGGCATGTCATTAGCAGAGCTGGCTGGAGCAGGGAGTCAGACTAGATGCCCAGAGGCCCCTTCTGACTTGCTTTGTTTCTCTGTTTCTCTGTATTAAGCAGACTGATAATCTAGTGAGACCTGGAGGTTGGCTTCTAGTAACATGGATCATGCTTGGAGTGTGGTGGATTACCTGCATAATGTGTCCCCTGAGTTCACTGAGACTTGTGCCCACTTACAGGTGTTCTGTGCTGTGCAATGAGGAATGGAGCCTCTTTGTCACCCCGTCGCAGGCAAAGTCTGCTATTTCCAATTAGAGATTACACAGTCGGTCAGAGTTCACGGAAGAGTGGTAATCTCCCATTGGTTTCCTTTGCCACCATGTAGCAAGGGAACCCTCTGCCTGGATGCACACCTTAACAAGGTGAGGGGGGTTGGCAGTGCAGTGAGCAATGCCTCCAGGAGGCCAGGCTACCTCGCCAGTGTCCTAGCAAGGTGCAATGGTCAGGGTTGAGACACCAGACTAAGACGCATCCACCCACTTCAGAAGGAATGGTCACATCAGCAGAATAGGTGTCTCTAATGGTGATGGGGGCAGGGAAACTCCGAAGGGCAGCTATTGGGCAGCAGCCGTTGATGAAGGCGAGAACGGCAGAGCATCCTTCACAGACAATGGCAGTGACACTCACTCTGCCTCTGGTTAATCCTGCATAGAAGAAGGCAATGATAAACTGCTTCTGAATCTTCTTACCTTGAAAGCCTTATGATGGAACAATCTAAAATAAAACAAGAGATGGTCCCAGAAATTAGGACACCCAAGTTGGAATGAACTAAACCAGCTCCGGGGAAGAGCGGAGGACAAATATGAATAGTGCGAATGACGCAACTTGATCAGAGCTGTGCCCGGCATGCACAGAAGTGAAGGAAAGGTTGATGCTGCACAACACAGACAATTGGAACACAGAACATGAGACATGTGAATCAAGGCAAACTGGGAACTGTAAACAGGAAATTAAAAGTATGAGCCAACTGAAGTGGACTAGAAGCAGGCAAATGCAAAATGTTTTACTCTGGAATGGACAAACTTGGAAGAAAAGGAGTGGCACTTATACTAAGGGAAGATGTAGCACAGGCAATAAGAGGCAATAACGCAAAATCTGACCAAACACCATCAGTCAGTATGTCTGAAAAACCTATCAACATAATCATCATTCCAGTCTGTGCTCCAACAAGAGGAAGAAATCAAAACTTATGTGGGTGTTCAAGAGGAAATTGATAACACACTGAAACAAGACTTCCTCTTGTGACTGGAACGCAAAAGCAGGAAACAAAGCAGAATCAAAAGTTGTAGGAAACTTTGGCCTAGGGGTAAGAAATGAAGCGGAAGATCAACTCGTAGAAGTTTGTGTAGCCAACAATCTGTTCACTGAAAGTTACTCATGACCTGACCGTACCCATGGACATCACCAGATGGATGGTATTGAAATCAAATAGACTACGTAATTGGAAGCAGAAGATGGAGAAGTTGTATTCTTGCTGCCAAAACAATTCAGAGTCAAGGTTAAGACAAATCAGCAGCAGAAACATAGTGTCAAAATACAGCGTCAATAACATCCTTAAGGAAGTTAAAGTCCATATAAAGAACAGATTTGCATTATTTGGCTTAAGTGGCCATGGGCAAGAAGAACTGCACGTTATTAAGGAAGAATGTCAAAAGACAATTCCGGTAGCAAAAAGAAAGAAAAAGCCTAGATGGATGACAGAAGAAACACAATCGCTAAGGACACGCAAGAAGCAAAGCAAAAGCAAAAGATGACAGAAATAGGGTCAGAATCCTGAATGCAGCTTTTCAGAGATTATTGCATAGAAACAAAAAGAACTATTACATATAAAGAGGAAATGAGAGAGACTGACAAAAGAGAAAACTAAGAGACCCCTTTCAGAAGATCCTAAAAATGAAAGGGAAATTCAAATCTAGATTAGGAATGCTAAAAGACAAACAAGGGAACACATTATCTGACCAGGGCAAAATAAAGGTGGAAATGGTATACAGAAGAACTATACAGAAGAGATGGAAGGATGACAGATTCCTTCAAAGAGAAATCTTATGAGAAAGAGCCTGCAGTATTAAAAAGCAAAGTGAAAACTGCTCTGAAAGTACTTGGAAGGAATAAATCACCCAAGTAGATAAGATGCCAGAGGACCTATTCCAAGTTACAGAGACTGAATCAGTCCAAATCCAACAAATATGAAAAACAAAACAATGCCTCACAGACAGGGAACGTTCGATATGTGTTCCAATTCCCAAGAAAGGAGATGCAAAGGATTTCCCCACCATACGACCATTGCACTGTTCCCATGCAAGCAAAGAGGTGCTCAGCGTGTTGCAATGAATATTACCCTGCACGGAGAGAGAAATGCCTGATGTTCAAGCTGGATTCCACAAAGGAAGAGACACTTGAGATCATATTGCAAATACATTGGCTACTGGAGTGTGCCAAAGAATTTCAGAAGAAGATCGGTTTATGCAAAGTCTTTGATAGTGTGCACCCTGAGAGAAGCAATGGATGGTCCTGAAATAACAGCAAAGAAAATCAGCAGGCCAGCCTCTCCACGTGCCCTGCCCCCCGCCCCCCAGGTCCCTGTCTCTGGCTGCTTTTCCATCCAGTGATCCCACCCCCTCCATGCTGGTTATGTAGGACTGCAGCCTGAATGTGTTCAGTTCCTACAACTTATCACTAGTAACACTCACAGCATTAATTCCGGAAAACTGCTGAGCAATATGAACCCCTATGGCCACTAGGAATGGTTGCCTGTAGGTGGAGGAAGTGATAAGCTGCCAGATGGAAACAGGTTTTTCTTTAGATGCTTCTTCTTTTTCTTTCTCCATGTCCTCAAGTTCTTTGGTAGGGTCATAGGCTTCTCCTCTCAGCCTTTTCAAGCCTAGGAAGATGGGGCCAGGGAAGAATTGTGGTTACTCCTCTGTTAGCATGGTAATGGGGAGCCCATTCATTCAAGGACTGGTGAGAACCGAGTAGCTTTCACATTCAACTCTGTTCCCCAAGGAAAGCTCCCCAGTGCCTTAGCTCCTCCCCCCCCCCCACTCAGTTAATCCATCGAACATCAGAATACCAGCTTGAGGAAATGCAGTCTAAAATAAAGGATGCTGTGCACCCTATTTGTTAATCTCTGCTTGAGATTAATGATGATAGGAATTGGGGAAGAGCTGTAGGGTAGTATTTACTCCCTGCAGAAGGTCCCCTGTCCAACTCCTGGCATCTGCAGTTAAAGAACCAGGTAGGCAGTGATTAAAAAAAGATCCACCAGACTCTGGAGATCAGGGGTGCACAGCCTGTGACCTTTCCAGATCTTGATTATATTCCCCACCCCAGACAGCTTTCACCCAGGGATCAAATGGGCCTTTCCTCACTTCTATTAGTGAGGATCCCTGGGGGAGGGACCACTAGCAAGGAAAGAACATTGGTGTGTGTGTGTGTGTGTGTGTGAGAGAGAGAGAGAGAGAGAGAGAGAATTGCACATGGGGGTCCCAAGTCAGTGACATATGTAGCCCTTTGGAGCTGACAAAGTTGGGCACCTTGGTTTGGATGACTCAGTCAAAAGCAGCTTCCTCTGTTCCTAACTTGCAAAAGGCCCGTCTAATTTCACAGGCTGATTGCATCCTGTTAGCCTCTTTAAGTTTCTGTCTACTCCCGACTACCACTGTTTGTTTACTCTTTAAGCACCCTTTCCAAAGCAGCGCTGCCCCCCGCCTTGCTTCCCTTCTCTTGAATCCTGCCCCTGAGTCACCATGGGGAAAAGGAAATCTCAGATATATGTCACCTCGCCATGCCCTTCCCCACCAAAACCAGGGCCTTGCCTCAGAAGGAAGGCAGCTGGATGCATTGCTACCCAATCCCTCAACCAGCTTTCAGTGGGGCAGCATGAAGACTCAGCCCCCACAGAGAAGGAAAATGTACTGTCTTGATGTGGGCTTACTCTCTTTGGCTTCTTCAATCTTTCCACATTTGATGTACAGGTACCGAGGACTTTCTGGGCAGAAGAAAAGCAGGACAGTCTGAAAGACGGCTGCACAACCCGCCAAGGAAAGCAGCAATGGCCAAGTTTCATCTTTGCCCAGGAGAAAGTCTAGGCCAAGGACCTTAGGGAAACATGGACCCATGTTGAAAAGATGGATTAGTTTCTCAGCATGAACACTGAAGAATTCAAAGAATTATAGCTTAAATAAAATGCTTTCCCAGAGACCTACATCTTTCCAAGAACCGAGGTTGTTTACATGACCATTTATCCTGAGAAAACTCCCCTGCAATTCAGTTTGATTCCAGTGGAAACAAGTTGAACACGAGAGAGAGAGAGAGAGAGAGAGAGAGAGAGAGAGAGAGAGAGAGAGAGAGAGATCTTTGATCATTTCAGACTGTCCCTGCATTTTTCCACCAGCTGGTTATGAAAACCAGCTCTGTGGACATCACTTCAAGGCACAGCTGTAATCATACACAGTATTTGTATCATCCTGTGAAGGGTTCAGGACACTTGAGATAAATCCATTCACTGCAATCTGTGCAACAGTAGAATTTTGTAAGGTAACCACAGTGATGATCCCCACATCACTGGAGAACCATTGCTGCCAGTCAGTGTTAGCAATACTGGCCTAGGAGGAGCAATGTTTTGCCTCATAGAAACTGGCTTAACTTTGCCCTCTAATCCCTGGTGACATGGAGAAGTATTTGCTTTTGGGGTGCAAAATTCATCTTTGCCCCAGTTCCGCTTGTATTAATGGCAAGCTAAGAGCAAAGCCATCAGATGGTGAACAAGCAGACATTCAGTAGGGCTTGCAGTTGTCCCATCTAGTTAGCACCTGACTCCTGCACAAGGCAATGCAAATGGGTCCGGTGGTCACTTGGTTCCTTTCTGTGTGCAAACCTACCTGGCTGATGAGAATCCCAATTACTACAGCAAGCTGGTGCAGTGATCCCAGAGCCCCACGGAGAGCTGTGGGTGCAATCTCTCCAACATACAATGGGGCAAGTCCAGATGTGAGGCCTGGGCAAAAAAGTGAGAGTCAGTGATCTAATCAATACCAAGAATCATTCTCTCTGTTGCCTTGGAAAGGCACTGCGGAAGCTGCAGAGCAACATGCAGGCGGGACACCATCTTTTAAAAGAGATCAGGGCTCAATTCCCCTTTTTGGGGTCTCAGGAAGAACAGAGAGCTACACTCAGTTCAGTGCTGTACATCCATGCCATGGCAGTGATAGGAAACATGCACAGCATGCAGTTCTGGTTCAGAATTCTCCAGGCCTCGTATCTAGTTACTCCTACTATACTAGACTAGCATGGAGTTCCACAGTTTGAGGCCACACTGCACCATCACTGCACGGCTGCAGTTCACTCTCCCCTCAGCTTTCTACACACTATTTAACATTATCTGATCTGCCCCACTGCCAGTCGCACTTGCCAAAGAGAGACTGGTGTGAGAGCTTTTCCAACAACGGTGCCTGGCATCAGTGCCCCGCAGCCGGCTTACCAGGCATTCTGGGCAACTGAGACTGGAAGCTTCCTAGCCTCCTGCTGTGGCTTGGGAAAGCCAGGACCTGGACCATGGAGCACTGGGTGCTGTTATAGCAGGCTGGATCCTGTCACCAGCCTCCCAAAGCCCCTCCTTCCTTCTCCTGCCATCTCATTGATCTCTGCCCTTTTCTCCCACTTCCTCCTGTTCCTTGTGCCTTCTTGCATACAGATTCCACGCAGTCCAGCAACACATCTGGGAAACTCATACAGAAGTGATCTGCTGCTGTAAACCTGCCTCAACTCACCAGTGTGCAGTCCAGTGAAGGCTCTTCCTATGATAATAAAGACATATGAAGGGCCAAACTTTGACACAGCCAAAAAGATATTCCCAGAGACTGCGAGGATGTTCACCAGTATCATGGCTCTCACTCTGGAACAGAGGAGGGACGTCAGTTCAACATTGGTATAAAAAGACCTCTGAGCTTCACTCAACAATAGGATGGTAGCAAAATGATTATGGCTCTTCTGCAACTGACAGACCGCTGAACATTGGTAGATGAGTAGTTGGAGTATTCTAACCACTAGGCAAGTCTGAAAATTGAACTTTCGGCTTGCTTCATTTCTGTAGCCATAACTGTGACACACCACCATCTGGATTCTTCTTGGAAGAATCTGAAACTAGGTCTGGGCACTGAAACTAGGGTTTAAAGGGGGCTAGCAAGCTCTGATTAAACCTGGTTAGGGTTATCCATGATTAAAGTCCGTGCTGGCATAACTCTTAATAATGGTTCAGAAGGGCTTGGAGAAATCATTCTTGAGGAGACAAAAAGGAAGAATGAAATCCTGCACACAGCACCAATCACTTCACTATACCATGTATACCATTGTGTAAGTCAACTCTCATATAAGACGAGGTTGATATTTTGGACTGTTTGTCTGGTGTTTCAGGCATATAAGACAACCCCCCATTTTTGCTTTGCTATTTCTAGCTTCAAGAGCTGTCTTCTATGTTGATATATATGGCAATAAAGTGAGGAACAAGGGACCAGGAAGTATAAGAAAAATATCATATATATCAGTCTATAAGGTGACTCATATAAAGTGACTTAATATGTTGGGCTGTTTATATTTGTGGGACATATAAGATGACCTCTGATTTTTACTTTGTTATTTTCAGTCTCAAGGGTCATTGTATATGCCATTTTATATGGTAGTTTAATGGTGGGCAATGGAACATTTGCACTCACTTGAACAAGGGAGTCTGGGATTCTGTGACATCATAATGCATTGACTATGATGCTTGCTTCTGCTGTTCGAATCATCTAAATGATTTCTAATTAAGCCGCTCCATTGGAAATGCATTGCTATTTCCTCTGCCCTTCATCAAAATTTTACTTTTCCTGCTTTTAAAAGCCCCAAGAAATCAGTATTCAGCTTTGACCTCAAGGACAGAGGTGTCCATACTCCTGTCACAGGGATCCTTTCATGTCTCTTACCTTGGCCCAGTCAGAATCGGAGCTGCCAGTCCTTTTACTCTCGCTTTAAGAAGATCATTGGAGGAAGAAATCAATGACGGTGCCCTCCACATTCCATCGGGGGTGGCGATTGTAATGAAAGGACATTTTGATAGGGCCAACTTATAGATGATCTTTTCATGGTATTCCCATATATTGCATATGGAGAGCTGAAGGTAGGGAAGGTCATTTGCCCAAATAGACTAATTTGTCTAAACACATGGTCAGAATAGGAACCATGTTCATGCCTTCAGATCTGCATGTTTTTTATTTTTATTTTACTTTTGGTCCTAAAATTGCAGAACTCATCTTTGGTAGTTCCATATTTCTCATTACTGGGATACAATAATTATTACAGGTCACTCAAGATGAGCACACATGACAAGCCTAGCAAAATAGGACATGCCTATGTTGAAAAACTCCCCTTTTCCCTCTGTAATGTGCAGTCACATGTATTCTGTATTATGACATGACAATGTGTGATTCTACAACACTGTTCTCGAATGGTGGAAAGTAGCTCTGGTAGTTTGCTGGCTCTTATTGGTTGGAGTGTGGAAAGAAGCATGCATGGAATATCACCGTATGGAGTATGTGATATTTCACATTACAGAGAAGGACTCTTTGAGGATGGATGCCATTTTCGGTTGCAACCCCATGCCGTTCATAGTGTTCAGCATGGGTCCTCAACTATGGCCCGTGGGATGGATCCAGCCCACCATGACCATCCATCTGGCCCGCACCGTTGCTCACTGCCTGCGCGCACGCTTGCTGCACAGGCGGGAAGGTGGTGGCTCGCTCGCTCGCTCGCTCGCTCGGAGATAGTCTCTGAGTGAGCGAGCCGCCGCCACCTGCCTCCCGTACGCGCGCGCTCGCCGCTGCCTTGCAGCGCGGGCGGAGAGATGGTGGCTTGCTCGCTCAGAGGTGGTTTTGGCCTCGCTGGGAGGTCTCCGAGCGAGTGTGCCACTGCCGCGCGTGCCCAATGCCGCCTTGCACGTGCCCGACAGCACCTCACCGGCCCAGGCACCCCCACCTCACCAGCCCGCGATGATCACCGCAGCCTTTCAAGTGGCCCCCTATTCAAAAAGTTTGAGGACCCCTGGTGTACTGGGTAGCTCAAGTGCACACCTAAGGAATACCGTATTTTTCGCTCTATAAGATGCACTTTTTCCCCCCTCAAAAGTAAGGGGAAATGTCTGTGCGTCTTATAGAGCGAATGTGTGTGTGCCCGATGCCCGGGACGCTGCCAGCCGCCTGTGCCATGTGGCACCACCTGGCCAACACGCGCTCAGCACACCCTGCTCCGTCCCCTGGCACAGGTGAGAGCTGTTAATCACAGGCTGGTGTGTGTTTTCAAATGGCAACCTGTCTTTTAATGAAGCCCATGGGGAAGTGATGGGGAATGTGCCTGTGAGTATCAGGAAGCTTTCCATGGATCAGTTATCTGTTAGTTGATCAGACACATTTTTTTTAGGATCAGTGGATATTTGAACAGCATTACCTTCGTGTATGAAGTTTATTCTTCAAAGGCTACTTAGTCCGTTGTGTGTTTGATTTACCGTACAATATCTCATTTTTGTCAGAAGTTTTTTTCTATTATTTACTAGTAGGGCAGCGTGGACATTACTGGCTTTTTAGATTTGCTATTGAATTGTCTGCAGCAGCTCTTGTATAACTGATGTAGATTGTGGATTCCTTCAATAATTCCATTACTGACTAAGAAAGTGATGTCAGTGATTGTGAGCAACAGAGCTTCATAAATTCTGACTCTAGTGATGATGAGTTCTATGGGTTCAACAAAAACTAGAAGAGTACTCGAACTTTAAAGTCTCTCTTTTGTTAATGACAGTGATGATGGTTCTTAATGCCACTGTCGACT